TAGTTTTTAATTTGAATTTTAATATTGTGGTCTATTTATATTTGATTGCTGCTTTTCGACTAGTGCTTTATACTTTTTGTGTTAAAATAAGCTTTATAACCATTAAGTACATGTTTCTAGTTGATATCTACCTAATCGTCATCGGGTGCTTGCAACAATGGGAAAAAGTGTATGGTTTTTTTGGTGTAAAGTTAGACGCCTTCATTTTTCAGGTAAGTTATTTGTAGTTATTTTTTACTTAAAGGATAGCAATACGTCCTGGTTTGGGGTGTGACTTTTGGGTTTTAGCTATCTGAGCCAAATTGTCGGCTAAATGTCCTCTTTTAGGGCACCCAGAACCGAAAACTATATAGGTATATAATATGTTTTTTTTTTTAATTATTTTTTAATATGTATGCAGCTTGGATGAGGGCTTTAGGAAGAGATCCTAAGACTGAACACTGAATGCTATAAATGCCGTTATTAGAGCACATTTAATAGTAAGTGATTTTATTCTAGCAGCAATGAGGAAACGTTTAAAAAACATGATGTACCAGCTATTACTTTAAGACCTCGTCTCTTTAAGTTATTATTACTTCATTCTAATGCATATATTAAAATGGTTTTTAACTTATGTCCTTATGATTAAAAGATGTATGTATATTAGTTATGTTATAATAAAAATATATGATACTTTGTATTGACTGACCTACTGGCCACTGGTCATTCCACTTTTACTCCCTTTTTTCATAAATTATCAAATTATTTAAAAACAAATACATACCTAGCTATTTTCTGTAAATTACATTAAAATTTTAGTATTAATACTTTACTAATAAAACTTCAGTTAATTTATCTTATATATATACACAACGGAAGAGTTAATTGGATTTTCTCCTTGTTGAGTTTCAAAAATAGTAATTTAACATGATTTAAAAACAAATACATGAAATGGGCAAAATAGGCCTACAAAGGCACTTTGTAAACAATCTCACTTGTATCGATGTGACGTAATGCGCGAATTCAATCTGGCTTACTTTTGTTAATAGATTGGCGTTCCATTTTAAATATACAGTTCACCGGGAATAGATTATTTAAATATACACGGACCGGGAAAACAAGTACGAAAAAATTCACTAGCTCCTGGACTAGTACTGTATCGAAGGAATTTTTATGAATGAAACAATATACGACCCTCCACAATTGCGGTCTACTCAACTTCCGCTGTTGTCAGACATTATTTTTTTTTGACAATTTAAAGACCTAACAGTAATTCAAGCAAACGCAATAACATTACTACAGTTAAAAACATCGCAAACTTGGCACCAATATTTTAATTTTATCCAAATATTGCATTTCTGTCGAGGATCATCCGCGTTGACTTCAGAAATTGTGTAATCTGTATTGGTTATATATATCTATAGTTAAAAGCACGTAAACTTGGCATCAATGTTCAATCCGATTATTGAGTTTCTACCGCGGACACCACCGTTCATTCTTCAAAAATTTTGTAAATAATCCTATCTGTCTTGGTTATATATCTATGTATAAATCTGACGAACAGGGGCCTGTTGTTGGGACGATTCAGATACGACACAAGCGTGGCGCATTATATTTATATACATCTTTAGGACCCACGGCGGCTCTTAGCATAAAATAAGTTACTTGCATTCCAACGACCTATCAAAATGCTGACAAGAAGTAGTAACTGACAGTTTAGATATGGCAACCCTGTAGGCCTGTTGCAATGAGGTTGAATACTATGGAGATGACATGCCAAAAAAAAAACAACACCCCTTCCCCCACTCTTAGTGGTCATGTCATAGTTGTCAAAGTGCTGTCAGAACTTTGTTCAAATTTAAATATTTCGACGTTATTTCTATCTTAATAAGTGTGTTTTTTTTTATTAATTTGTATAAAAATCATGACTAAGTGTGCCAAAATTAATTGTAAAAACTCTTCAGTGAAAGAGCGTAAGAAAATATCTAATTTAAGTTTTCATAAGTAAGTTTAAGGAGTGTACTTAGAATTTTTTTTAGAATGCTTAACTTTTTTTATTATAGGTTTCCAAAAGACCCACAATATCTCAAAATTTGGTCTAAATTTGTGGGAAAAGACTTCAAGGAAGAATTTTTTGATAAGAGTGAGTTTAGGGTCAGATTGAAGAAGAATGCTGTTCCGACAATAAATGAATGTTTAGTTAGTATACACTTTATTTACAATAAAACTTAAATAACTAACTTAATAAAGAACATTGGCTTGACTAACTTTAAAATAAAGACAAATAACTATATTAAAACTGGAAATTGTATTCCTTTGGAGGAATTAACTATTTTAAAGTGCAATATAACAAGCCAGTTAAATGTTACTTCAAAGGAATATGCAATGTCTGATAATATTGACGATTTTGAGAAAGTGAATGTTATTGAAAATGATCATGCTTATTTACCAGATCCAGTCTCCTCCTTTTCTAAATATATAATCACTTACATTTCTGGATATGTTGTTTATATTTAAAAAGAAAATCATTTGTGGACAATGTCTAGATGCTTTAATAAGAAAAACTAGAGATTTGTTTCTATTTTCATTCATTGATATAAAGAATAAAAATGGTTTGCAATATCCATCGGAAGATGTAATAAACATTTGTTTAAAATGTGAAAAAATATTAAAAATTATGAAAGACTCTAAGAAAAAAATCAGTTGATATCATCAGCACATTAGTTTTAAAAGAATTCATAAATTCTAATGTCTTTTCGAATATTATGCAGCACAGTTTGGACCAGTTTGTGTTGGATAATAATAGAATATTATTAATCAAGTGCATAGTTGATAAATATGTTAGTATCCGACTAACATATCTCACTAAAACTAGAGTTAATAAAGCTGCTAGCATAAGACATCAAAACAACAAAATAGTGTTGTTTAAAGGTCAATAAATATTTTTTTAAATAATAAAAAAAATTTTGTTGTGTCTTATTAAGAATGGGACACAGAAAAACTGAAGAGTTACCTATAATTTTACCAAATTTGGCAAAAGTTTTTGGTGTCATAAGATACGTTACACTTATTTGAACTATAATTATATATTTTTTGATGTTTTTTAAGTAAATCATATAGGTACTTTTGTTGGGAACTTATAAGAAACTTCAAAATTAAAATGAAGAATATTCGCATTCTAAGCATAGTCTTATTTTTAATCAGACTCTTCAGTTGTTCTGTATCCCTTTCTCAATGAGACACCTTGTATATAAACTTCCCACTTGAACAATTTTATATTTTTCAAGTATGTACAATACAGGTGTATCAGAAATTAAAGCAAAAAGACAACTTATAACAAAGGTTTAAATTTAATAATGTCAAGTCATCCTTGCACCCTAAAAAAGTACCAATGAAGAAATTATTCCTCCAATGCAACCAAACAGTTATTTTTAGGATAAGATTTTGTGTCAAATGTTATCCACAGCCACAGGGTTTCTTTTTAAATGGCATGACATTCAAAATTTTGGTCAAAACAATTTTCATCATGCACTTTTCTTGGAAATTCACAATGCTTTATTAGGATTAAAACACCAGTTTCTAGAAACTTTTTCACTATAACACTAACATTACTGATCAGAAAAAGTGGTTAAAGTGTTCTTTTTGTAATCACAAATCGCAACTGAATGCCTATTTTTAAAATAAATTATCTCTACAATTCCATTTGTATAGTTGTATGCTGTGCATCTGTGAGATTGTTGTTTATTATACATAGGTACCAATTACAGAAATCTTTAGTAAGTACTTGCTTGCAATTTTAGTAATATATGTACCTACCCTATATAATTAATTATTTCAAACATAAATAAAACCAACAACTATTATCTGAGTCTTTTTAGTTCCGATTGGTTTTGACAGAATAGTTTTGATCATGGTTTTCTTCCATCTACTTTAAAAAATAAAGTCATACCTAGCTGAATTTTTGATCTTTTTACACTTTTGACTGTAGTGGGTCATATTTTTAATGTATGTCATCTGCAGCAGAAAGACCTACATGTTTAACATTTAAAAGTAATTAATTGTCCTTTCTACAAACTCGGTTGTATTTTTACTGAAATATATTTATTCACAATTCACGTAGTGGTTTGGTTTTTGGTTTGGTAATTTGATGTCATAATTCTCCTCATTGTCAGATTTTGACATTGGCAGCTTTGATCAAGACAAGAGACGAAAAATCGTAGTTCGGGTTTTAGTTTTAAAGCACAAAGAGATTAACAAATCTGATACACAGTGTTATTCGAACGTTGATTTTCGATCACACAGGTCATATATCGGACGGTTTCGGCGAAGATAGAACAATATAATAATATTAATCTCTTTTATGGTCTTGGCATTGGCTTGGTCGGAAAACGGTTAATAAATAATAGTAAATACTGCAGAAGTCATAATTGCGCAATGTCATCAAATTAATTTCGAATCGATCATGTTGAAACAAATCTTAGGTAAGTAAGTTATTTAAAAGTTGTAATTCTGCATACGGACTTTAATTATATTTGAATACGACCCTGCTTAGTCAACCATTTAAGCCACGCCCGGTGGGGTCATTTTTAATAATTGCCTCATGGCATCTCCATTAGTATTGTACCTCCATGGCCTGTTGTAATTGACAGGGTCAATGATACATACTTATATAGATTGCTCAAAGCGGGTGGCCATATTGCCTCGCAAGTGCTCATTAATCAGAATCGGTGTTTAGAAATCAATTTTCAGCCTTTGAATATAGTAAACAAATAATTACCTATATTTTTACTTCAAGGCTTATTTTTCTTTTCAAAAACGTGGATGATCAACTGTCATTGACTCTGTCACCAGTCCTACAAGGTTGTCATAATTTTGCCATATCATAATCTACTAGTAGCTATTTTGTTTGGAATGCCTAAATAAAAATAGTGCTTTAACTGACACTTAACAAGTGATTGAACAGTTAATTAATTATTGTCTATTATGCAGAGTCAGTGAATAATTATAGAATCAGTACTTACCTAATCACATTAAACTGAATAAATAATCCTATACCAGAGTAAAAATACGGTTTCAAAAACGTGTTGGATATGGCCTGTTTAAAGCTGGGATTCTTTTTTAACAATTCTAGTTCCCAATTTCTGTAAAATTAAGCAAAAAATCAATAAGATTAATCCTCATATTAAAAATAGTCTTTATCTAAAGATAATAGCGATATTAAAAATAATAATTAACGCATGTACAAATGTGGATAGTGTACACCCCCGCATCTACCTAATGATCCAGATTTAACACATTGTGATTTTTTATTTGGAAAGCCGATAATAAACTGACAAATTTCCCATTTCTGTATTTGTAGATATAATGTTCTGTATTCGTTGTATGTTTGATTCAGAACACGATGTGTGACAATTATTATAGGTGTTTTAACTTGCCTCAAATCCCATATAAAAACAGAATATAGTTCCAAAAAATCCACCAGAGTTCGTTAGAAGGTAAGGTACTCGTTTGACCATTATAAGAGCTAGATAAAGTATGTTTTAACATCAACATGTATCCAACTGCAAGATCTGGCCATTAGATGATTGGTCAATCATTTGACAAGTTATTATATTAATGTTCAGGGAGCATGACATATATATTTACGAACAAATATAATTGTATTTTATTTATAATTCTAATAATTTTGCAATATTATTTATTGTTGTTAGTTTAAGTAATACTTTTTTCATCTTTGTTGAGGTCTAGTTATTGTTGATCTTAGATATGAATGTTAATTTAGATCAAAAGTAGAAATAAAATAATAAGAACGCAAGTAATTGCTGTTACAGGCTTTATTACATTTTGTAGATAAAAAAAAACAAAGGTATTTTCAATGTTTTAAGTCTATATGTGTGTACATTTTATTAGAATTTGCAGATCGGCTGTTCAGAAATCATCCGGATTCTAGGTATTATAAATGTAAATAAGAACAATGGAATTATTGATAATAATTTGTTCTTTTTTTACATTTATAATGCAAGCTCTTGGCAAATACTAATAAAATGTCAACACTTTAAAATACCTACCTTTCCTTCGTTTTTCTTTATCAATCTGTGTATAGCTACACCTACAAACCTTTATTTTGTAAATGAATAAAGTAGTATAAGTTAATTAAACTATTGAAAACAATCCTCTGCGTATATATAATAAGTTTACATATTCAATTTTTTTGTACCTACCCTTTTCATCAATTTACCTTGTTATAAGAACCACATTTTATTGCAATTAGAAGATCCCTCCATGTGAAATTGTTTAGGAGTGGTAACAAAATAAGCATGTATCTTCGGAATGTGTGTATTAATTATCTAAAATGTGGTAGTTATAATTTAATACCTACTCTTCTGTAAACATTAACATCAAAATGTCAGTTAACACTTATTTTTTCAAAATCCATTTGAACAATATTTACAAGTTTGTAGGAGAGAATACACACTATTTTCCTTGATGTTGTCTCGTACATTATAAAAATGATGAAAAATAGTAATGTCCTTACTTTGTTTTGATGAACTAGGTATACGTGTGATTATTATTATAGGTATGTGGTAGTATTTTATTTTTCTTCTTGTAGTATTTACTCTTCATTTCGTTTGTTACATAGAGTATGCTTAGTAGACCATTATTTAAAAAAAAGGATACAGACATATTATTTACTTGATAAAGATAAAATTAAATGAATTTTTCTGACAGCTTGCAGGTATTATTTGTTTTCATGTACGGTACCTCACCTTCTGCCGACCTCTGGTGGAATTTTTAGTACTATGCATAGTTTGTTGCCATATTTTTAAAAGATTTGAAACACCGGTAAAATGTCATTCATCGTGATTCAGAACAGTGATTTTCAAAACTGTAAATAAATAATTTACATTTCAGAATGAAGCTAGTCTTACAATTCAAGATAATCATATCAATCTATGAAAAAATCAAATGTTTTTTAGCAAGCCTTATTAATTTGACACATATATATTTTATTTATCATTACAGAAGAGTTGAATTTCTGCAATAATCAAAAAACGATTGGGTATTTAATGGCGTTTAAAAATTTAAATCTGAAGAACTAATTTGCTGTCAATGTTCTGATAAATGACCACTGTAATCTTTGAATATAAATAGTCAGGAAGGAGCATGCTATGTCTGCGTTAATCTAATCAATCTGACGGAAGTGGTAGCCATGTTGGACTATGGATGACTCATCATCATATGACAAATGGTGTCTAAAATTGGTTCCTAATTTTAGTGATTAAAATTTGTTAATAATTTGGATATTTTATGTGTTAATTTAAAATTTATCAAACGTGTGTTTTGTAGACCTTTTTAAAAAGTGTTTAGTGTTTTAGTATTTAGTCAGTATTAGTGTTAATTTTAAGTTTTCCGCGTTAAAAGACACATTACAATATGGTCAGTTGTTGCTCTTGTGGATACAGCAGCACAGCTAAAAGTAGAAAGGAAGGGACTACATTTCATAAGCAAGTATTTTGTTCTCTCAATTATCAACCATATCAAAGATTTGTTAAATTTTTAATGTTTTAAATTTGTAAACAAACATGGTAAGTATGTATGTGATCAACTGTGCTCATAGGCGTAGTCTCATGGTTTATAGGGTATATATACATATTCTGTTTAAACAAATCAATAAATTATTGCTCAATGTTGATTTGTAAATTGATTGCAAGTAAACAATTTTCAGATTTCTTAAGAATTCTAGATTTACAAATTATATAAATTAATCCCAGGTAAACAATTTTCAGATTTCCTAAAGATTCTCATAAAAGAAATTTATGGCTTGAGTTCATGCAAGAAACAAATTGTGAGCCAAAATCTCTTAATGTTTTGTGTTCACGCCATTTTAAAGAGGATTGTTTCGACCGAACTTTAAAACTGAGAATAAGACTTCTGCCAACAGCCGTTCCAACAATAAAAGTGGTCCGGTTGAAGTATGTAAGTAAATAAATCCTTTACTAACTATATCATCATATTATATCGGTTTTTTTGAACCTAGGTTTTTAGGTTTTTTAAAATACCTAAAAGTGAAAATTCTGCAATTTTAAGTTTTATAAAATAAATATTATGAATTCACAATTTTACTAATCAAACATTTATTTATTTTTCACTTTTTTGCAGAATGTGATTTTTTTTAATATAATAAAATTATTTGCTTGTATTTTTTGTTTAATTTTATTTATAATAACTTTTGATATATAGTATATGAACTAAAAACCTACTTGTATATTTTTTAATTCTTAGTTTTTTCAAACCCTGAACTAAATAGTCCTAAAATATATAAATATGGTCTATTTTGTTTTTTTTTTTTATTTATTTACAGGTGCGAACTTCTGATCCTGAAGTAAGAATTCCTGTAGATGTGCCAAATTTTGAGGCTGTAAAACAAAGAAAGGTTCTTCAGGCAATAGATTTATTGGCCGTTCCAGGACCTTCTAGGCCACTTCAGTGTTCTTCTCCTGTTCCAGGTATTTCCTCAACTCTAAAGAGTTCAGATGAGGGTACTCCTCGAAAAAAAATTCTAAAGAGAAAAATTACTGAACTGCAGGAAGAAAATGTTTTGAAAAGTAATAAAATAAGGAAACTACTAAAGGTAACATGGCAGCAAAAAAAACAACTTATGTCTTTGCAATTTATGGTTTGAGTTAAAACAAAAAAAAAATATTATTAGAACAACATGAAAATGTCATGATAGAACATTTTGGAAAAAATAAGGAAATAGTTAAACGCCTATTTAAAAAAAGTCAAAAAGAGAGTGTTAAAAAAATATATGAACATTCAGTTAAAACTTTTGCAGTTACATTACACTTTTTATCTCCAAAAGCTTATAATTATGTGAGACAAAGTTTTTACAATAGTTTACTACATCCAAAAACTTTGTCAAAGTGGTACTGTTCAGTAGATGCCAAGCCAGGTTTTACATCTGAAACATTGGATTTTTTAAAATTAAAAGTTGTCAATTCAAACAAAAACTTGGTTTGTTCTCTAGTATTTGATGAAATGTCGATTAGACAGCATTCAGAATTTGTAGGTGATAAATATTATGGTTATGTAGATTGTGGTAATGGGCTTTGTGGTCATAGTATAGATTTATCAAAGGAAGTATTAGTTTTTATGCTTGTTAATAAAATTATCAAATCTTCTCTTCGATATTAGGAAGTTTTTTATGTACTCAGGCTTGCAAAATATAATTACAAACACAAATACATGCCTACGGCGTTGTGTTCAAATTTCGTCTTCGTGCGATATGGCCATCATATCCACTTTTGTTGAACAAATGTACTATTTTTTAAGGCATCTACAAAACATATTTAATTTTCAAACCTTAAACACGACATACTGTTTTTGTAAAATTTATACCATTTGTAAAATTTAAATTAATAAAAATATTGTCATAATAAAGACGTAAAAAAGTCAAAATTTCTTTAATACATTATTGCTTTGATTTTTCAAAAATTAAATCTTTATAATTTATACCGAAAATATTTTCCTATATTTATCCCACCCAACATGCAATTTTAAAGTAAAATTAATTCACATAATGATGATTAATTTAAAAAAAAATGCTAACTTCTCGCAAGAAAATAGCTATTCGTTAAAATTAAAGAAATCCGTAAATTTAGATAATATTCAAATAAGAATTTATTATTCTCTTTTCTACGCACCCTTATGACAGTACGTCACTGGTAGACCGGAAACACTTGTCGCCATATTCGACTAGTTCACTGTCAAAATTAGATACCATCGCGATTCCAAGGTCGTTTAGGATCCCTCCTTCCTGACTATTTATATTCAAAGACTGTAATATACATTCATTCCAATAATTTTACCTGAAGGTAGGTAGTTTACAGAAAGATAACGATAAGACAATTTTCATTTTCAGATAAGCAACTGCCGTACTTAAGTAATGTCTAATATAATTATGTATTGTGGCACAAGGTTAAAAACGTAATAGCTAGCAGAAAATTAGATAAGGTATACTTTACTTAATGTCAATTGAATAATTTTTTAACAAAAATTTTATCACCCGAGCTAGGGGAAAGTGGGCTAATACCGCGCAGCGGGGTAATACCGCGCACACAGAAACACAGGTGTTTGAGCA